CCCCGCAGCAGCTAATGACTAAGTGTCCTTGAGCAAGACACTTATCCACTAATTACTGCAGGAGTGCTGTTGGGGCTGCATCTGCACTTTGACCCCTCCACATGAGTGAAACACCAAGCGTGTTGTTCAGGCATGCACTAAAGAACAAAAACGATTTCCTCAAAACGCCCTTTATTATTTCTGAATATATTTAGAAAACATTCATGTATGTGAGTCAGACATCCCCAATGTCCTTTGTCCTTGCGGTCTATTTTTATGTTAATTGAATGTATTTTTTCCTCATTGTAAAGCTCTATATGCTGCATTTCTTTTATGGAAGGTTCTATAGAAATACAGTTGCTATAATTGTAATACCAAGGCACCATTACTGAGGAATGCACCATGTTTTCGACCTATTAACTTGTTAAACTGGTTTAGCAGTGTTTAAATATACTCTTGCAGCCATTGCAAGTTGATCTGGATACAAATCAGACAAATACCCAAATATAAAAATCCAACTTCAGTTTATCCTTGTGAAGTTAAGGATGTCTAATCACACAAAACATAACAGTTGGAGGTCTCGTTCTAACCATGTAGTACATCTTCTGGAAAGAACAGGAATACACCCAGCTCCAGGATGACCTCCGACCAGCAGCTCAGCGCTAAATAAACAAAGCGTAGCCATGCTGCAGCTCTTGGCACAGCCCAGCTAGCCTTTAGCATGTTTTAGCGCGCCGACTCCAGAAAGGCTGTCAGTGAAGTGGGACGGTGCATTCCTGTGTGCAGACAGTCTGCAGCAGATTGCCTCTCCCTCCTGGGCAGGTTCTGCTGGAGGCCATTTGCCCCTGTGCTCCTGCCTCTAATTTCCCATAAGACCAGATGGCACTATCATTCACCGCTACCATAGAGAATACAAGGAGGAGGACGCGTGCGATTGGAGGCAGACGGGAGGTGAGGAAACGATATGTGCAAGTGAACATGAGGACACTGACTTTAATGTATTCCTCACATTGAGGGAGTTTTATGTTAATGAGGCCCGATGTTAAGCTCCTATTAGAACAAGATTTAATTAGGTTACACCTAAATGCAGAAAATCCTTTTTTTTGCTAAACAATTAATAAATGTGTGTTCTGATTAGTGTTTCACGGTGACCAAATAGACAGGTTAATTCATTTTTAGTTTAAGAACTTCCATCACTAACATTTAAAGTGTTTGTACGTGATATTTCCTTCCTGATTCCTGCTTTGTTTTAGTGCAGGGACACTGCCAAACCACAGCATTAAAGGATTGTTGGTTACATGCTTGTATGAATATCAATACATTATTGTTTGTTATTGTAAGGGCAACTTCTGCAGCAATGGAGAGTCAGGACTCAGAGAGACACGAGGAGAGTTGGAGCTTTGATGTCAAACAATGATAGTTTATTGCAAGGATACGGCCGGAGAATTCATATCACAAGTCACAGCAGCAAAAGGTTCTGACTGCACGGGTGGGTTGTCATGTCAATTCTGATCCGCCTCGCATCTTGGTAGACCTTTTAACTAGTTTACAGAGAGTCAAATCCACATATTGGGGATGGGCGTAAACATCTGCAGACACAGGAGATGTCTCTCACATCTGTGGAGCTTAGAAAGCCAGCGTTCTCACAGTCGTAACCCCCCCTATCAGGCCATAAAACTGACCCTTAAGTGCTGGAGCACAGAATATTGGTTGGTTATTAACGTCAACAGGCAATAAGGTTAAATATCTAGGAGTAAAGACAGAATGATTCCCTCACAGTTATGTGAATTTATGGAAACCTTTCTGGTTGGAAGCAAACTGCATTTCATTGTACTCTGAGCAATGACAATAAAGTTGAATCTAATCTAATATTTGATACAGATAATATATTGCTCATGTTGTCCTTAAAAAGTTAGACTTTGAGCGTTTACTGTGGAAACGTCAGTGGTGTTTGTGGGTTTTCAGCACCCTCGTCTAGAAGTGCTTCCCCTTCTCTTCTCACCTCTCCTGAGTGAAGAAACAGCGCATGGCAGCAAACAGGGTATTCATTAACCCCGCTGCTTCCCTCACTCTAGCCTTGAAAACTCTCCCTCGCAGCTTCACCCCCTTGTCTAAACTGCTCTTCATCTGAGGCGTGTGAGCGACACATCTGCATGAGCGTTGACGCAACACATCTTAAGCTGACGGTCTAATATTTAAGATTTCAGAATGCGAGAGAGAAGAGTACGGAGGTCCTTTATCTCCCTTTTTTCCTCATCCTTTCTCCCCGTCTTTTCTCTCTCCTGGCCTTCTCACTGCAGCTGACAAAACTCATACTGAGACGCCCCCCTTCAGGCGGCTCTCTGTATCAAAGTGTAGCCCCTCATCCTTCACAGGTCTGAAGCCATGGATGGATATCTTTTTAACAGGCGTCTGTCTGCGAGGCACTTGCTTAGTCATCCTGAGCAGCGTGGAAAACAACAGAGTAATCCTAAGCGTGAGGTGAGGATGAGAGGGAGACAACAGCTCCGTCCTGCTGAAACGCTGCCAGCTCTACGTGACAATTCATCCCCCAAACCCGTGTCCAGACAGCCCGTTTGAGCTTCAAAATAATGATCCGACCTGATCGCCCACCGGCAAGGCAACATCTCGGGGAAGGACAGAGGGATGGAGAGACAGAAAATGGTGAAAATGATGGAAAGTGTCACTATGAGGGAGGAAGAGGACTGATGAAGATATACGTTTTGGCGAAAGATGGACTCAAGCCACACAAGCAGTTCAGAGGGTGATGATTAAACAAGCCACCAACGGAAAATCTATGCGATTCTCATCTCTCATTCTCAGAAAA